CTGAACTGGGTAGGGCTGGTTCAACCAAACCCTGCGTCATAGTGAGACAATGGATGTTGGGTGCAAGATTTTTCTCCAATGAGAAGACTAGACTCATTAAACTTAGAATTCAAATTGAACTCAAATTTAGGACTAGAAAACTCAGAACTCGAAGATGACGTGACATGAACATAGGTAAATGATTAGCGAGTACATTATCTAGCTGGTTCACAGATTCTTGGCAGTGCAAATAATTCATACATTCTGTCTTTTGAGTTATTCTCAGCTATAAATAGATAAAATAAAACAATACTATTGTCTTAGTTCTTTTTTCAGGTTTTTCTTTGTTATGAACATCATGAAATGATATTTAGGAATTTTCAATGTCTAAATGGCTCGATGCAGTTTCTTCCGAAAAGATTTTACTAGAATTTCTGGGTTAAACACTCAAGGTTGGAGATATACTATTTTATGAGTCTTCAGTTTGAAAAAAATTCAGAAATTCAATGGACAGTTTTTTTTTTCTTCTCTCCCTTGAAGATGAGGTGAGAAAAAGCCTTGAAGTTTAAAAAAGGTGACGTTTATGGTATCGAACATTCTTCTGGTAGTGAGATCAAAGCATTTATACCTCTTTTGGCTAAGAGCATAACCAACAAAGACATTTATTTTTGGTTTGGGGTTCAAGTATTCCTTGATGATGAATTTAAATGAAAGGAGTGCAACCCAATATCTTTATAGAGAGAAATGAGAGCTTATTCTTTGGAAAAAATTTTTGAAAAACACCAACAAGTGTTTCAGAGTTCAAGACTTTATTGGGCGTTCTATTTATGAGAAAAATAGCAGGAAGAACTTATTCACCCCAAAGATATTTAGGCACATGGTTGGTAAATAGTAAGGTCTGAACTACCTTCAATAAATGCTTACTTTTTCTTAGTTTTTCTTTCAATCGGCTTATTTTATCATGGAGTGTTGACACAAGAAATTTGATTAATTATTCTAGAAAGAATTAAGCCAAAGTGTGTTTGAAATACTCTCAGTCGTTGTCACTCTATAATATTTGGAAGGTTGTTTGATATTGGGTTTGTACCACGGTGAAATTTTTTTTAAAAATTATTTCTACTTCATGTTTTTCTTTCATTAACTAAACTAAACTTAACTTGGTGTGATCATTAGTGAAAATCACAAACCATCTTTTTCCAGAGCCAGTTGGGATTTACAAGGGCCCATTATATCACTATGAATCAAAGTAAATGTTGTAGTATGTTTGTATATGAAGAAAAACCACACACTTCATATTGAAAGAACGACATATTCTTATTCTGAAATAATTTGGGCATCTAAGTATTTTAGATAATGAAAATTGGGATAACTTAACCCATAATACCATAACATAATTTCATTGTCTTTAGAAATAGAAACTAAATTTAAACTAATACTGTGATATTGTCCATTCGAGTCAAGTCCATCTTTAAAATAATACAATCAATCTTTTCTTTAGCACTATCAATCATCGTTCCAGTAGTCAATTCTTGAAACTCACAGAAAGAAGAATAGAAGTTAGCTTGACATAGATGATTGGTAGTAATTTTACTAATAGACAATAAGCTACATGATAGGTTAGGAACATGAAGAACATCATGAAGGGTTACTAATAATGAGAGTTGACAACCCCTATCTGGATAATTATTGACAGGGAATCATTGATAATTTTGATCTTTTTATTGCATGCACAAATTTTATAGTAGGAAAATAATTTAGAACCTATCATGTGATCAGTTGCATCATAGTCAATTATTCAAGAATGAGAAAAATTAGAAATAACACCCAGCAAAGAAGTGGCCAAAGATTTATCCTTTTACACTAAAGAGCAAGACGGGAGCCAGGGATAATTTTGGAAATTGAAATAATTTTTCTAAGTGCTCTAATTGCTCCTTGGTGAAAGGGATTGCATTCGAGTTGCAGATGACTTCTGAGTTCGAGTTCCTTCAACAGTGACTTGATAAGCTCGATTTCATGCTTGATATTTGATTTTAAATTTGCAGGTTTTTCATGAAACTTCCAACATGTCTCCTTCATGTGCTATGATTTTTTGCAATGCCCACACCATTGCTTTTCTAGTCCATCTTAGTACAAAGCCATTTTGACACAAGCCGAGTTCTCCTATTCAATTTTATCAGACGATTCAACATTGTATAACATACTTTTTCTATTGGATTCTTCACGTTTAACTTCATAAAAGACTTCTCAAATTAAGGGTAGAGGTTTACTACCAAGGATTTGACCTCAAACTTCATCTAAACTTTGATTGAGGTCAACTAAGAACATGCAGACCCAGTCACTTTTTTCTTTTTTCTTGTGGTGAGCATAGTCATTTGAATTCTCTCAAATGTCATAACATTGATCAAGCTTTTGTTATAGTGCTACTAACTCGTTGTAATACGTAGTAACATTACGATCATTTTACTTGAATTTCTAAAGTCGAGTTTTCAACTCAAAAATTTGTAAAGAATTCTCTAAGTCTGAATAGAGATCTTGAACAGCCTCCTAGATACCTCGAGTTATGGGAATGAATAGATAAGGCTTTCCTATAGAAAGTTTCATGGAATTGATAAGCCATACCATTCCTAAAGAATATTTGAATTGTAATTTTTTAAGATTCGGATCATAGCAGTAGGTTTTGGGATTTCTTGGGTTAAATACCCAATTTTGCCTCTCCCGTCTGTCTTTAATTTTATAAATTGTGCCAACTTGGGATAATTGTGTCCATTAAGTTTTCTAACTGTGAAGTAGGGTGATAAATTCTAAGAAAAATATTCAGCCAAAATACCCATTAGGAGAGCTGTCGGGTTTGGTATGGTGGTTTCATAATTAATGGAACCAATTGATGTGGAATAATTTCTTTGAACTTTCATCATCATTGTTGATTTGTATGACATCCTCAGAATAAAAAAGAAATCTATCGAGAATAGCGCGAAACTTCTTTATTTCACAGTTAAGAATGAAGCGAAACTTTTGTACATTGAGTTCGATTTACTTTCCTGCTCGAGCGGCGCGGAACTCCTTTACGTCGTGTTCTTGATCGCTGTTTTCGAACAAGAATGACACATAATTCATGTACACTGCGATTCGTTCACTTTCCTTCGCATGTTTGTACTCGTTGTTGATTGATGCCTTCCTCTGGGTGCCGCGATCGTTCCTTTGAATGTCGTGATGTGATTGTTGCCTTCGTAGCGAGCTTTAATAGAACTCTACAGCGAGGGGTCACAATGCAGACGTCGTATACGCGTTTTAAGTGGTTCGATGCAGATGTCACAGACGAAGCCAAAGCCGAATGAAGCAGATGATGCAGATAGTGTCGTTCGTAGCAAAAGATGACTTAACTAAGCTAGAATGTGCGCGAGTCGATTTAGTTCGTTGTAGGTAGAAGACGATAACGTCGAGGAATCCATCGCAGGAAGGGGATAGCGTCGAGGAAGCTGGAATGGGCTCGAGTTGAAAAACGAACGAATCCCAGGGCTAAGCTATTATGGCTCTTATGCCATGTAGTTTTTTGGAGGGGAAAAATAATTATTCCACTTCAATTTCATTGTAAAATGATTACAAGTTAAATAGAGGAGCTTGGATCCCATATTGGGGAAACAATAATACCAGCCATAACTCCTATAATAAAAAAAGGAAACAAGAATAATGACATACCAATACTTAATGATGCTAAAAATAGTAAATACCAATAATAGGAGATTCTAAATGTCCAACAATAAATCTCTCTCTATCGTGAGTAATGATTGTATGTGAATTGAATTGACAAATATTCTTTTTGAGTCTTTATCTTAATAGATTTGCCAACCCCACTTAGTGAGATAAAGGCTTATTGTTGTTGCTGTTGTTGTTTTATCTTAATAGATTTGCTAAAGCGGCAAAAGCCCACAATTATCTCAAAGTATTTTTCCAAAGCATTAATGCATTTGTAGTGTTATTGCATTTATTTGATATCAAATGCACTAAAATGGGTCTTAGAATATTGGTTCTTCAAGGGCACTCCAAGGGGTATCATTTCCAGCATATATGATGATATAAACTTCCTTGATCTATGAACATGCATGCAGCATGCTTGTGCATATATAACTAATTTTTCTAGCCATGGCTTTGAGCCATTTTTAGCCCTTCTAGTTTCTCAACATTAGAGTCGTCCATCTTCATGCCTCTGCACAATCTGTTCAAGTTATTATAGATTAGGGAACCTATGGTTCATTGTGAGAAATCCAAGTATTAAGACGCTAACCTCATTGACTTTAGCTATTCTCTCACAACTAAAATTTTCCACCCCGCTAAATTAATGGTCGATTGGGTATAATTATGAATGTTGAATATGGGATCTTATTTTTTTTAGTATTCATTATTACTCCAATTTTCTCATGTTGTATGCCTTATTGCAATTATACATGCATAAAATTTCATTGCTCACAGAGAATATTATAAATATATAAAAAGCTGAGTGACAACCTTAATCGAGAACCCTTCCCAATTGGAGTAATATTTAGCCATGCGGTTTTTGTGCCCGTTATAACTCACAAATAAAACGATACAAGGAAGCCCTTTTTTATGAGAAAATCTGTTAACATTGATATCAACATTTGCGCTTGAAAGGTATGGCAATTTTTCTCATAAGAGCATTTTGAAGTTTTCTTCAGAATCACGACATCCTTACCTTGTTAGATGGTGTTTTACAGATTTTATAGTACGGCAGCTTGTAGCCTTCTTATCTTGAAAAATTCTATGTTAACCTGCCCCCAAACATTTCCATAGTTAATTTTTGGCTTGTATGTCTCCTGCATATTTTTCTTCCCTCTACTTATTTCTGTGGCTGCACCCGGCTTCCTCACACTTTACTCCATGATTTTATAAAAATTACATGCAATGTTGTTTCTACATTGATCTTGTTTTTACAGCATACAGTAATACCCATCCAGCACGTTGTAAGCTTTGGTCTAAATCTTGTCAGCAGGGCATTTGAATTTCAGGTAATTTGTTGATTTCACTCTGGTTTCTATGCAAAAAATGGTGCTACTTTTTTTTTGTCTCATTAAGAAAACTGCCGTCGTGTTGAAAGGAGTAAAATCTCTTTATATTCTGCTCTCTAGGCTGATGCTTTCGCTAAGAAACTTGGCTATGGAAAATCACTTAGAGCAGGCCTTATAAAATTGCAGGTGAGGCAAACATCTCTTTGTTTATATTTATAATGTTTGCTGTTCGAGCATTAGTTGTACTTCTGTGAGCCATCTATTTATTTTGTTTGAAAATAAAAGTGAGGGTATCCTAAACAAAATCTTGGTGAGGATGAGTTCCAAACTCTTTAATTTATTTCTATATGAGTGTAATATGAATTTTGATTGATTATCCATATGTTGTATTATTCCTAGTCAATTTTTTATCCGGATTATCCCAAGTGAATTGTTTTTCTTTTTGACCTTCTGTTAACTAGATATTTAGCATGAAATAATTTTTATCAGGGTGTTCTTAGAAGAAAATTTCAGGAGCGATATCAAAATTGTTAGTTTTTTTTTTTTTTTAAAGATGAGTGCAATATATGGATAATCAAACAAAATTGTGTTGCACTCATCTGAAAGTAAATTTTCAGATATCCTGACCACAATTTTTCCGCTTGGTATTTTGTCTTTCTGAGTAATGGCAGCATGATGGTAGATAGAATGTCAGCAATCACCAATAAAATCTTGATCTTTAGAACCAGATAATCTACATTTGGTTGAAACAAATTGGATTTCACAATCTATGTAATACTTAATAGATCAGTCACTACATTTGTGCAATTCACATCTTTACCATTCCCGTTTTGTAAATTTGGAAGTTTACGTGTGATATATGTAAATACATAAGAATTGCTTGCTATATATATATCTAAATACCCCCTTATTTTAAGTCCACAATTTTTATCTGAGTTTGGTTATCTTGTTTTGTTTTATGTTGTAAATCCCAGGAAGAGAATCTCTCAACAATGAACACAGATCCATGGTATTCAGCCTACCATTATTCACACCCCCCATTAGTTGAAAGACTTGCTGCGTTGCAAGAGTTGGAGGCTAAAAAGGAAGACTAATTTTCACATTGCTTTGCACTGCTTCCTATAAATTTAAGATTATCTTTTCTTTCAACGTTCAGCTGCTAATACCCTCTTTTTTATGATAAGAATTATCAAGTAGTATATACAGCTAAAGGGAGTTCTTTTCTCTATAATTGAATGGCCAGATCAATGATGCTTCCAGAAAAAATTTTAGTGTTTATCATAATTGGACAAGATTAATGCACGCTTGTCCATAAGTGACAGAACATCATTCTGAAGATTTAGATAATGTGGGTTATGCTGCTTAAAAGAGTTTTAATAGTGTGACAAGTACTTATTTTTTGTTTTAACGGACTAGGACCTTTTTATATGATATATTTTTCGAAGTTTTCTTACTAAAATTTTATTGCTTTTGTGGAGTTTTGACATAAATCATGCCCTTTTTTTAAGGGACATTTACATGCTACCACACAATTCTTATGTATTTACATATCTAACACCTAAGCATTCATATTTATATGTGTATTACTCAATTGTTTAATATGACATCAAAAACACCAACATCATTATCTTTTTAATTGTGAAATGCACTTTTTCATGTATAGATTCATGATACCAAGGTAAATCTTATTTATTAAAAAATGAATACATAAACATTCAGGACTCACACTATTTATAGGATTCAACAGGCAAAGACTAGAGAAAGGACAAAACACTATCGGGCTAAAACATATAACTGGACCGGTACAACCCACAAGTTAACTAATATAGTGACAATCAATCTCTATGTGCTTGCTTAAGTCCATAAATGGCCTTTTTGAGTTTACAGACATTAGAAGGATGAATTTGATCGAGAAAATCTTGTGGTTGTTGCATATGTAGACCGCCGTGAAGAAAGGCATTGGATACATCCAGTTGAAGAATTTGCTATTTATAAGTAACTGCTATAATAAGCAAGACCCAAATCATAGAGATTTCAACAACGAGGTTGAAAGTTTCAAGATAATCTTTGCCTTCTTGCTGTTTGAACTGCTGAACAAGCTTTGTACCGATCCACTGCCCCGTCTGAATTTAGTTTGGTCTTGAAGGTCCAACTGCAACCATACTGGGATGTGGGAGGTGCCAATTCCCATTTCCCTTGATCTTGTAGAGCTTGAAATTCATATGATATAGCATTTCTCCAATGTTCATGTTTAACAGTAGGAAGTGGGATCATTAGTGATTTGATGAGTAAGATTGAAGATTTTGTGAGGTTTAATGGTACCTATTTTAGTTCTAGGATGTGAGGCGGAGGGGGTAAAGGTTCAGGTTGATGATCACCGCCAATTGAGGATGGCAATTCAGTATAAATAGGAGAAGCTGGAGTCGGATGCCTGGGCGGCGGAAGAGAGGAGATCTAGAGCAGGTTGTAGTGTTATGAGATTTAATCGGCAAGATGGCAGTGGAAGGAATGAGGAAAGGAGGTAGAGGTGATGTGAAATTAGTGTGTTGTGGGGAAGAAATAATTTTCCTTTGATAGGGAAACACATGAGAAATGTAGGTTTTATTACTATGAATGTCTAGACATTTATAACCTTTTAAAAGGGGGCATGGCTGAGAAACACACATTCTTTAGATAAAGGTTGAAGTTTATGTTTGAGATACGGCTTGAGCCAAGGAAAGCATCGACATCCAAATATTTTTAAATGGCGATAGGTCGGTTGTTTATTGAATAATGTTTCATATGGTGATTTATATTTCAGAATTTTTGTAGGTAATCAATTAATGAGATAGCAAACAGTGTGTAAAATGTCGGTCCATAAATGAGTAGGCAGAGAAGCTTCATGTAGAAGAATACAAACATTTTCCTTAAGGTGTCTATGCTTTCGTTCGACTATACCATTTGGTTCGGGGATAGTCATATTGATGTTGAATACCGAATTGAGTGAGATAATTATTAAATTCAGAATTATAGTATCCACCTCTACTATCACTTCTAAGAATTTCTATGCAGGAATGGAGTTGATTTTCAGCTATGCATTTAAATTCTTTAACTTCAATGAAAGTTTCATCTTTATGTTTAAGTAGATATAGCCAAATAAAACGTGAAAAATCATTAAGAAAAAGGACATAGTATCTATGATTTTGATAAGAGGAGCTAAGAGAAGGACCCTAAACATCAGAATGTACAATTTGCATAGGTACAGTAGCCCTGGTAATGGGTTTGGAAAAAGGTAATTTCTGAATTTTGGATAAATTAAATGACATACAAGAAATATTGTGGCTAACATGTTGTAGAGTGGGAGTAGATCAAGCAATAACTTGTTGAATGTGATTATTAGAATGCCTGAATCTTCAATACCATAGATTTGGAACCTGCTGAA